AAATTGTTTTATGCTATTTAAAATAGCGAGGAATGGGTCCTCTTCTCTGTGAACCCACCGCCACAAATATTCGCACAAATATGAATCAAGGTGTTGTCTGGCAGTTTCTCTATGTACTTTATTTCTCCACTTTGCTGAGCCCCATAATCGTTCTATGTATTGAGTATGAACCCCAGTTGATAGATCGACAAAATTATACGGGTGATTCACTTGGAAATGGTCATAGTTTGCTTCGTTCAGTTGTCGGGTGTTGTATCGTTTCCAACAGTCTGAATAAATGGTTGTTCCCTCTTCTATAATTTCTTTATAGAATAACAATAAGGTTGTTGCTTTTCTGTCATTTATTTTGACGATAAAACATTCATCTGTTTCTCGGCAAACTCCACCAAACATCCATTGCTGAGGTAAAACTCTCCTCACATACAAATCCCATATTCTAAGAAGATCCATAATATGACGAAAATAATCGGAAAAAAAAATGAAAAATAAACACAAACGGTTCAAAAACTAAAAATAAACACAAACAGGCCAAAAGTAAAGAATTTAATAAGTGAACGTAATAAGGGAATAACTGAAAACTAAACAATGCAATAACTCAAAGGTTTGGGGGGATAAGAAGAGGGAGGTTATGTGACGTGACATTGGATAAGATAGATAAGAAGTGAGGTTTCATGCCGGCCCGCTAGACAAAAAGTACCGATTTTTTAAAAAAATATTTTTAACTTGACTTGATCAAATGATTTTTTTTTTTTTTAATTGACGTTTGTTTATTGTACATTTTGTTTGAGAGCAGGTTAGCTCTGTTGGTAAGTACTCACTTCTAAAGGTCCAGGTCAAGTTTGAATCCAGCTGATGACAAATAATTTTTCATTAGCTGTGAATTGATCATAGGGTCAGAAGAATCTTCTGAAGCGCTGTACAGTGAGTACTCTTAATTAAATTAATTTTTGGTTAAAGGAAGTACTATCCAAATTTTGGCTATTATTTTTCTAAATTAGTGATATTTCTAAATTTTCTCTACTCATTCACAAAGCATAGCAAGCATCCAAGGAAATAAGGCCTCATATAGGAAAAAGAATCTATATAGATTCATCAGTTAGAGGGAAAACCTGGAAAATGATGGAACACGGCAGACAAAATTTCCATTAATTCCTTTCTACTCGGTGTTTTCCTCCAAAATATAACATCGCATTCCTTAAATCTGTCAAGATATTGATTTATTTGTAGCAGAGGGTTTACTTGCAAGTAAAAATGATAAAAAAATAGATTTGTTTGAATCTGAGTTTTGGATATTGAAAAACTTTCAGTTACAGTACTGTATGATTGCTGGTGCTTCTAGTTCTAGAAGTTTTGAAACAGAAAAAAATTATTAAGCATAGACCTGATAGTTTGCTGTACTACTGTACAAGTGGTACTCCTCTTGGATGAGTGCGACAAGGTCCCATGATCAGTGTATAAATGGGACTCAGAGAATGGCAGAGTGTGTTGACAAGTATTTACTGTACAAATTCCTTAGTTGTACTTATCAGTTAAAATCCCAGCCATAATTAGGTTTAATTTCTTTCTGGGGGGAGGGGTGGCCGGATGGGCTAAAGTGTGTGCACAGCACAGCCAGTTGCCTGGCAACAGGATAACAGATTTGAGAAGATTAAAAAGTATGAGTTCGCGTCCCAGTGCCGGAGGGGGATTTTAAATTCTCCGCCCTTACATTTCATTTATAGTGTATTTATCAGATCTTGTACTACTCATAAAAGTGGAGTGACACTTCTACATCAGTAATCAGTTAGCTGATTGTCGAAACTCATGTTGGAACAGACCTGTTATTAGATAATCTGACTATAGTTCCATGTTTTGTTTTTTTTTAAATTTTATTAATCTAAAAGTAGAAAAGACTTGCTAGAAATTAAATTGTTCAAGAAGAATCAATTATATCATCTTAAGAGCTCAGATATAATGTTGGAATCAAGTACATTAAAGATCAAGTTCTGACATTTATTCTGCTTTATCTATTGTTTTCTATTTCCATTTCCAAAAATCTTTGTGAATCATATATCTTCACATATTTTTACTTTCACTTTCTTCACTTATATATGTAAGATATAGTATGGGTAAGTATTGCGATCTTGAAACTTTTCGAATCTCAGTTTTCAACGGAAATACATGTTTTGAGGTCCCCTGAGTCCAAATAACCAAGTGTCACAAAATGGTCTGTGTGTGTGTTAACAGTCTAGCTCATAAACCAAAAGTGGTACGAAACTGATATTAAGTATTTAAGGTTTGTATATGAGCTGGATGTAACAGCAACTTTTTTGTTAAAATCGGCTAACTGGAAGTGCCACTTAATATGAACACTGAAACACATTTTTACAATTTTCTCAAAAACGGCTCTAATGATTTTGATTAAACTCGTATCATTGTATAATTAAGTGGTCTTTAATATCATATAAGTCTTACCCCCATTGATGTCACTTTACAGGGCTTAAATGCCCAATGTTCATATATGTCTTGCTCTAAAGTACCTTTAATATGGTTTATTTTATAAAGTTAATCATTTCGCATTATTCAGAGTGTTAAGATATGTAAAATAAGGTGATGTATATATGGGACTACTGTAAGTAAGGATAACAGGTGTGAGGTTATATGAATCTAGATGTGTAAGCTTGTTAATAAAACATTTAATCATCTAGTGATTATTATTTAAATAAAGACATACAACATGGCGCTGCGGACGAACTAAGGATAATATTACATACTAAAATAGTTGGGATAACAATAATGGAATCGTTTATGCAAACCCCAAGATCCATGGATTGGAATGGTGATCCTGCTCAAGAGTGGACTGAATTTAAAGGCAGATACGAAATTTATATTGAAGCAATAGGAGGGAATAATTATGAAGAAAAACGTAAGTGTGCTATTTTTAAACATTTAGCAGGAGAAAAAATAATAAATATTTTGAATAGTTTGCCTATTAAGTTAGAAACGCTAAAAGACATAATTAAGCACCTGGATGACTATTTCATTCCTCAGAAGAATATTATTTATGTAAGATATAAGTTTTTTGGTTGTTCAAAGTTAGAAAGGGAAACGCATAGTGATTATACAGTTAGGTTAAGGGATATTGGTAATTGTTGTGAATTTGGACAGTTATTAGATGGGTTATTAGTGGCACGCTTTATTTCAGACATTAAAGATTGTTCGATGAGAGAAAGGTTATTGAGGGAACAGAATTTAACTATGGATAAAGTCCTGGAACAGTGCCAATTAATGATAGCAACTAGGCAACAAGGTAAGGAAATGTCTGGAGCTATGGACGTACACTATACCAGAAGGGACAGGAAGAGTGTAAGCCAAGGGGAGCCTTCAGCTCACAAGATTATAAAATGCAGGTATTGTGGGTTTGAACATCCCACAGGAAAATGTCCTGCTTACAGACAGACATGTAGAAGATGTAGAGGGCTTAATCACTTTGCTTCCCAATGTAGAAGGAGTGTAACCAATCCAAGGATGGTTAAAGAGATTCAAGAAGGATCACAATTTAGTAGTTCTGCATTTTTTGAATTTGCAAAGCAGTGGGATTTCAAAAGTAGCATGGTCAGCCCAAAGCATCAACAGGCAAATGGATTAGTAGAACGTCATATACAAACCATTAAAAGGATGCTAAAGAAATCACTAGAAGCTCGAACTGATCCGTTTCTGTGCTTGCTCGAATTAAATAATTCACCATTTGCAGATATGCCCTCCCCTGCTGAACTACTGATGAGTAGACGCCTGAGAGGAGTCTTGCCCCTATCTAATAGTCATTTACAATCAAAGGTGGTAAAGGAAAGTGAGATAAAGAAGATACTTCAAGAGAGGCAGAAAAGGAGCAAGGGTTATTATGACAGAGGGACAAAACCTCTCAGAGACTTGCAGGTGGAAGAAAAAGTTCAGATGCAAACAAGTCCGTTTTCGGAATGGGTTCCAGCCAAGGTGATCGGGAGGATGGATCACCCAAGATCATATTGCTTGCGAAAGGACAAAGATGGGGGAGTCATAGAGAGAAATAGAAAGCACATTAAACCTCTTTTAAAGTACAATGGTAGCCAAGAAGAAGAGCAGCAAGGTGCAGAGGGAGGAGAAGAACAGCAAGAAGAAGGTAATGAGGAAGAGCAGCAAGGAGAAGATACTGAAGAACAGCCAGAGGATGAGGATGAAACTTTATTTGATGGTTATGTCACCAGAGCAGGGAGGCTAGTGAGAGCACCATGGTGGAGAGAGTGACTTCAAGAAGGGAGATGTTAAGATATGTAAAATAAGGTTATGTATATATGGGATTACTATAAGTAAGGATAACGGGTGTGAGGTTATATGAATCTAGATGTGTAAGCTTGTAATAAAACGTGTAAGCTTGTTAATAAAACATTTAATCATCTAGTGATTATTATTTAAATAAAAACATACAACACAGAGTTATAAAAAAATGCTAAATATAACTTTTGATAAGTTAATAAAGGAGAAAAAAAATAAAAATACAGAAAAACCTGCATTTACTATAGATTGTAGCGCCTAACGAATGTATCGATTTCAATGAAACTTCGCTGAAGTCATTTTTCAACTTATTTCGACTCCATTTTCATTTTTGAAAGAATATTTCTGATTTGGGTGAAACTAATGTCTTTTCAAATTTTAATTCATGTGTGTTAACTTTCTAATAATGAGTTAAAACGTTAGTTTTAGATCACAATTTGTGATGAAAATATGAAAGCCATTGATCTCTTATTTCTCAGCTAAATAACCAACTTTCTGTGTATTGTCTATATTGTTTCTTTTCTAGTATTCACCGTCGTGTTAATCTTTTACATTTATAATTAGCTATTTGATTTTAATAATTCTGATTTAGTTAAGAATTTGTTTCTGTAATTTGTAATTAGACAATGACGTATGCTGTAACTTGGAAGGTTTTTTTATTGTAGCTCTACTAACCTCTTTGGTAGAGTACGCTAATACTTAACCTTTAGTATTGCAACCTTCCAGTATCAGTTGTATTTTCGGTGTCGGTCGTTGTCATGTTTTCCATAGGATTAAAACGTTTTCCGCGTTTGGATTTGATTAATAAATTTGGGAAACGACAATTGTCGATAAATGTTACAGCGATAGATGATCCTATAGTCGTCACCGACGACGGATCAACAATAGTTTGTTGGCACCCAGAAAAGATGTATCCCTATGAGTTTACCAAGCCAATGCCAGAAAATATATCACACCCTAGGATTCTTAAAACATCTAAAGAAGAAGCTATGAAATTGGTGTCTAAGAAACCTACAGATATGGAGATTGCTAGGGAATGTGCAAGTTTGACAAACACTACATTTCATAGGTGGCTTCCAAGAAGTAGGGATAAGAAGGCAAAGAAAACTCTTCCAGACCGCCCATATCTGTGAACAGTGTTAATAATTAATTATCAGAATATAATTTAGTGACTTTTGGATGATTGTTTTCAAATCTCTGCATGCTTTTCTAGGATTATAAAACGGATATGAAAGATTGTGATTATTTTAAATGTATTCAGTATAAATGAATCATTTATGTTTTTTTTACATTGGAAAATATTGTTTCCGTATGTTTAAATAAAATTTATTAAAGCATTTTGTATTTTAAAACAGATAAGGAATATGGTGATTATTCTTAATGTATTCATTATGAATGAACCAGTTTTGTTGTTTTATATTGAAGAATATTACTTCTGTATGTATAAATATAATTTCTTAAAGCATTTCGTATTTTTATCTCATGGCTATAATCTTTTAATTAACATACATTAAGTGTTATATATTTTTTAAAAACGTTCTTTCAATTATGTTTTCTAAAGGAAGGAGATGGTCCGGGGTGGCGATCATAAATAGGCTGAATAGTGACAAAACTATTTTATTATAAGCCAACGTTTCGACCCGACTTTGCAGATCTTCTTCAGGAAGGTGTGTTCAGCTAGGAGTTTCACTTAGAACCTGAGTTCTAAGTGGAACTCCTTGCCACTATTCAGCCTATTTATGACTGCCAACTCGGACCATCTCCTTCCTTTATAATGCAACGGTCAACTATTAAATATTCAATTATGTTTTCTGTATCCTGCATCTTTGAGCAGTTTAATTCTTGGCAGTATTGAAATTTTTTTAGTTATTAATAATATAACTATGAAGAAGTGCATTATCAGTTGCTTTCATTATTAGGTATCTACTGTCAATATGTTTTTTATTAATCGGCAGTCCCCAGTAACTTTAAATGATAATTTGATTTGATTACAGTGTTATACTTGAAGGAAGTTAGTCGGCTGTTCTACATATCATGGGTGATAAATATTCAGGACGCAGTCTTTTTTAAATTTTTGCCAACGTTTCAACCCAAACATGTGGGTCATCTTCAGGGCTGAAAATGTTTTTTTTAAATTACAATCAGAGATATAATAGTATACGACCGCTAATTATAAATAATAAACTATAGTCATTGATGGCACATGAATCTTAACTAATATTGTAATACACATATTAAAATAGTTATACACAATAAAAAATAATGTATATAATATAATCCAATTATATAAATTTGTAATAATTTCTCTTACTAACAGTGGTTTGAGCACTGAGGTTGTTCATGTACTGACACATGTTTGGTAGGTAAGTAAAACGGTCAGGGTGGGAGGATTTCCCACTTGTCTTTTTTTTTTTTTTTTAGATAGCAAAAGGTAAGTAAACAAGGTTAGAGGGGAGGGGAGGGTAACATTTGTTGTTTGTAGAGTATAAATGATTTGCTGACAAATATTTCAGACGTGTACAATATTTGGGTTATTTCATATGGTTACAGAAATGTGACTATTGACTAGTATTAAAATGAACCTAAGCAAAAGGTGCCAATTAATATAAATATAGCTTAGTTTGATAGCAAGTATACAAGGGTTAGATGAATAATTTTTATAATAAAGACAATTTCAATGTATGCAGATGATATTTAGGACAACATATTATACAATATTTATCATAATATAAGTTTGTGTTATATTAAGGATTACATAGGCTATTGTTTCAGGAGGCGGAAAATATTTGAATATGTATTGCAGATCTTTTCTTTGTCTACTTTATGGTTTACCGGATTATTTTTTTCCAAATTAATGAATATAGATTCCGATAGTAGTAGTTTTTTCTGATTGGGAACTGTGGCGAGTATGGTTGTGTTTTCGAAATCAAATGTGTGGTTTAGAGTTATGGCGTGTTCCGCTAGTTTTGAGGCAAACAGGTTTCGTGTGGAGATGCTATATTTGTGTTGATAGATTCGTTTTTTTAAATAGTTTTTGGTTTCTCCTATATAAGAAGAATTACAGTTTGGGCTAGAGCATGTGATATGGTATACAATATTTGATTGTTGTAGGAGCGGAACAGGATCTTTGAGTTTGGTGTATAGATTTCTTAGTTTGCTGTTATTTTTGAAAACTATTTGTAGATGGGGAAATTTGGAAGTTATCGCTTTTTTGAGATAGGACAGGGAAGAATCTTTCAAATAAATGTCGGTATTATCAGTCAAAAATTCTTTACTTTTTTAGTTATCATCAAATAAAATATTGAATTCATCGTAACACTTTTCAGCTTGTTTTCGGGAAACTATGTTATACACATAAATGAAAAGGGTTTCAAGGGGAAGACTTTAGCCAAGTTTCGTTAAAGTCGGTAAAGCCGTTTTGGCTACAGCTTATAGCGACACATTTTTTTGCGGCTTTGAACATAAAAACATTTACATTTTTATTTTTTTTTACATATATAAAATTATCGTAAGACAGAAGTAATATGCCAGAAACCTTCCCAGGAGTGTATGGAACAACTTTCCAAAGTTTCATGGCAATCGGATGAATGGTTTAGTAATGCACCAAGGACAAACAGACGGACAGAAAGACATACATTCATTTTTATATTTATAGATTCTAAAGGGACAACAGTCTCAGAATGATAAAAATATCTTCATTTCATTACATATGGATATTAAACCTGTTAATATTAAATACTCAAAAAAATAAAAGAAAGGTTCATAATGATGAAGGTGGAACTAATTGAAGAAAAAAGTTATTTGGGATAGCGAAGGGCAAGCGATAAAACATTTATAAATAAAATTATTTTAATGTGTGCCGACATTTTGGTAAAGTTTTAGGCCTTCAGGAACTTGTGATATTTCTGCACCCGTCGCTCTGATGAAAGTCTAAAACTTTTGGTTCACGTTAAATAAGTTTACGTATTTATGAGTTTTTTTGATCAACCTCCCACCAACTTCTCTAGAAAAAAAAAATCTTTATTAGTTTAAGATGTAATTTTATTTGTTGATATTTATGTTTAATATGCATACATTTCTCTAGGCTAATAGAAGAATTTATGTTACTCGCAAACGAGTCAGTTGCGAAATTCATCCACAACAAGGCTCCAGATCTTGCTCTCTTGAGGAAACATGATCCCCCCAAGCTGGATATGATCTCACGGCTTGCCGATGATCTAAATGAAATTGGAATATTGTTGGATTATAGCAGTGCCGGCAGTCTTAATTCTTCTCTTTTAAAGTAAGTTTTTAGATATGAATATTTATACTTTATTGTATGTGTTTTTTGTCTCAGTGTGACCTACTTACTATTATTATCCCCACATATATTATTACATTAAGGCTTGAAATTGGTTTTGTACCAAATATAAGCTCATGTCATGCTCAAATACCATGAATGGGGTACCGTTGGATTCAGAATTTCACAGGTAGTTAGCGAATCGTATTCTCCACTTTTGCTTTTCTTTCTAACATAAATAAAGTCGATACAAATATTTTGCTAGGCTTCAATACTGGAACGGTGGTAGGTCTGTAGATCAATGCGGGACCAATTGGACCTTGAAGATTTTGATGCGTACAGCAAGACCCGGATAGTTCCTCCGAAATTATCGGATCCTGCGTTTTTAAGCCCAAAAACATACTATTTTCGAGATAACGCAAGGCATGGGGCTCGCATCCACACAACCTGACATTAATTGTAGTACTGGCATTGGATACATGTCTCATTTCGTCGACTTGAGGTCTCTATGATCGAGACAGGAGGAGTTTATTATATTATTTATCAATGGTGTTTTTGATCTTCACCAAATCTCAAGATTGAGCCACCAATTTCGAAGGCTTCCTTCTCCTTCAGGCTGGCAAAATAGTCCAATCATCCCGAAAATTTAGGCAAACAAGTTATAAAAGAAAAGAAACTTTATTTGCGAATAACTAAAAAATTACACACTTTTCCCTTGGTTATTCCCATGATTTTATAAAACATTACTAAATTGTCTACAAATGGAAAAAAAAATCATTGAAATCGGTCAATTTTTCACAAAGATACAGCTTATTGAAATTTGTAAATATGTTAGTTCCAAACAAAAATGAATATTTAAATTAATTTTGTTTCCTTTGTCGATTATATTTCTCGATAAAGTAACAATTGATTCCCTTATCTTTTGATACGTTGCATTATTTTATTTTTTTATTAATTTGGCATTTGATAACAATATGCTGTGCGAATTTTTTGCACGGGCCTACTAGTAATAACTTATTACCAAGAAGAGATGGACTCTAAACTGAAATTTCAATAACGGAATACAGTTTACAAATGATGTGTTCCATTAACAGAATATTTTAGTATCCTGTCAATTCACCAAATTGCTTGTTTCCTATTTTATAATATTGCAAATTATTTAGATTTGAGGGGTATTTAAGAAAATTATTTTATATTAAAAAGGAAATGGGACAAAACACATAATTATTAAAAGATTTCTGTCACGACTCCTTTAATAATATTTAGACATGATTATAATTTATTATACTTGAAATTTTAAAGAAAAACAAAATTTATATCAACAACAAATTGTGGGTTTTTTGCAAAAAGTCATTAAGTAACATTACATAAAATCAGGGCTCGAAAATATGAGTTAATTTTAATTTTTAAAAAGTTTAAATTAAACTTATACCCTTTTTTTTTATCTTACATGAAGTTATTTTAACACTTTTATCCAATTAACTTTTTTAATAAAAGTTCACTACAAACAGTTATTCTGGAACTTATTCATAAAAGGTTTGTATTTATAAATGGCCAAAAAAATAATTTCAGAAATGCCAAAATTGAAAATTCATTGTCGTCATCATACCAAAATTATCAAAATAAACACCAGTATGTGCAAACACACTTACTCATTTCCTATTGTAACAATTTTTATAATCTCAACAAAAAAAAGTTCTTAAACTCACTTTTACTTTAGTTGTTCAAACAGTTTCAGTGAACCTTGAACTTTTTTAAGAAACATTTTATCATAAAGATATAAGAATAACTTTTTTAGTAAGTTTGCTAAATAAATACCTTTAAAATCGAATTTATTTAAAAAAGTTTATGACTCTTTCAACCACTGCATAAAATTGAATCACTAAGTACTTTGATAAATTTTCTTTCCGTAAAATGTGAACATTGTGCATGAACATAGGATAGCTGTTTTCAATTTATAAAAGGTTTTTTTGTCATTTTGAGTTTTTGTATTGATAAATAAGGTCAAAATTCATAAAAACATATTTCAAAGTTTAGCTCCATCAAAACTATTTTTAGTGAATTTTTGTAATAAACTGTAATATTGAATCATGATAATTAAAGGGTAATTATTTTGGTTCAATAGTGAGATTTTAATTTTGATAATTATTATGGAATTATTCACAGATTAATTCAGTTGATCACACGAACGCTCGTGTTTTATTAATAAGGGATAAAGCCATTTTCATTTTTTTAGAATCTGAAAAATTTCACCCAACCTCATAGAGATGACATCCTGAAAAACCACATCCCGATTCTCGATTTAAGTATATGGGGTAGAGTCAGTCCTATGCCCGGTTGTTGTGTTTCCTCCGGTAGGCTAACATGGCTCATATACCCTGAGGGGAAAGAATCTCGGCAAGCGTGGGTTCTCCTGATGGACAGTCACCCATCCATATACTTACCACATTCTGTTTTGATTAATTTGATTATCTATTACAAGCACCTTAAATCACCCGGCCCCTTAATTTATTGGAAAATAAATAATAAATTGGGTTAATTTATAGGTTATGTTGGTTTTGGACACTCAATATCTTGGATCATTAGTGTCCTTTTTCTATTATTTTGAGTTCATTTTTTTATTTTTATATATTAATATTAATTAATACATTAATTATTAACTAGTAGGCCCGTGCGAAAAATTTGCACAGCATATTTTTATCAAAGGTCAAATTAATAAGAAAAGAAAATAATGCAATGTATCAAAAGATAAAGAAATCAAATGTTACTTTATCGATAAATATAATCAACGAAGGAAAGAAAATTAATTTAAATTTTTATTTTTGCTTGGAACCAACATATTTACAAATTTCAATAAGCTGTATCTTTGCGAAAAATTGTCTGATTTCAATGATTTTTTTTTCCTTTTATAGACAATTTAGTAATGTTTTATATAATCATGGGAATAACAAACGTAAAAGTGTGTAATTTTTTAATTATTCGACATTAAAGTTACTTTTCTTTTATAACTTGTTTGCCTGAATTTTCGGGGTGATTGGACTATTTTGGGCTATCCTGAAGGAGAAGGAAGCCTTCGAAATTGGTGGCTCAATCTTGAGATTTGGTGAAAAATTAACGATGATATGGCTTGCCAATCAAAAACACCATCAATAAATAATATAAACTCCTCCTGTCTCGATCATAGAGACCTTAAGTCAACGAAATGAGACATGTATCCAATGATAGTACTACAATTAACGTCAGGTTGTGTGGATGCGAACCCCATGCCTTGCTTATCTCGAAAATAGTACGTTTTTGGGCTTAAAAACACAGGATCCGATAGTTCCGGGGGAACTAACCGGGTCTTGCTGTATGCATCAAAATCTACAAGGTCCAACTTGTCCCGTATCGATCTACAGACCTACCACCGTTCCAGTATTGAAGCCTAGCAAAATGTTTGCATCGACTTTATTTATTTTAGAAAGAAAAACAAAAGTGGAGAATACGATTCGCTAACCCCCTGTGAAATTCTGAATCCAATGGTACCCCATTCATGGCATTTGAGCATGACAGGAGCTTATATTTGGTACAAAACGGATTTTAAGCCTTACTGTAATAATATATGTGGCGATATGTAAATTTATACATTTGATACAATTAATATTTATAAACTTAAACATAACATATAAGTGAGTTCAGTACATTTGACCAATTCCTACTTAGTATAAACACAATTCAAGCTTTCAACTAGAAATGATTCTGTCTGATTTAACGTCTACCGGACAAATCACTTTCATTTTGTCTTGAATCATGTTGGAATCAAACATGATTTTTGTGCTGCTCGCAGTGGCCATGATCTCTGATATCAATTCACCTATTAGTGGTAGACTGCGTTAACTAGCAATTTATGTGAAGGAGTAACTTCATTCATGTGGTTACGATGGTAACACGTTACTATGTCAATTGATATTTTCATGTAGTAAAATAAACTCCGTAATATTAGAACAGTATTTGGAACCTATAATAGTCGAACCTCTATATCATGCGGTCACAAGCAAAACACACTAAGTCAAAATTATCGATTTTTGAGTTTTCAGCTTTTCGTAAGAATATGAGAACCAAGACTGGTTCATAGTAACTAAAAAATCATATTCAATAAAGTTTAAAGGAACTAATGAGATACATTTTTGTATTTCTTTACTTCTTAAAAAAATAATCATTTAAGATACATTATTAATATTTTAATTTACATTTATCTTTAAGTGTTCTCGATAATATAATGTTTTATTTTATTACAGGTACTGTGAAGATGACAAGAATAAAGCACAGGTCTTGTACAATATGTGTGCAAAACCGATGAGGGTAATTTTAATTTTAAACTATGTTAAAATACGATATTACAAACTATTTGTGTAACCTGCAATTATCTGCTCTTTACTTTTATATTTTCAATTAAAAAATCATTTCTTGATATAAAAAAAATATAGGTTGCTTTGTCTCACTAATTTTTTTTACCTGAAAATCGTTGGATAACTCATATTCTCAGAGTTATTAAGATTGTGTTTTCTTTCCTTATTATAATATTTACCCTTGAAAAGAATATAGAATAGAATTTTCATTTGCTAAAGATTTACAATGTTATGCAAATGATACATGTAAAACAACTTTGTTGTGTACCTTAGAAAAGAATTTCCTTTTATCAATTTGTTATTGTACAGTAAAGCATTGATTATTTTACCAATCAACTGAACCATTAATTATCCATATTATCTTGATTTATCACAATTTTTTTTTTTTTAATTAAAATTCGGAACAGTTTGAAACATTTTCTAGAGTTCAAATATTATATCGGAATTTAAGTCTATTATTTAAAGTCTTTATTTTACATTTTTTTTTTTTTTATTAGTACAAAACTTATACTACTGCAAAATACCTAAAGTTTCAAAGTAGTATCCTAGGTCCTATCCTTTATACAGTTTATACAACTGACATCCCAACACTGTCATCACCACATATGGCGATGTCACATGTATCCTATCAGTTAATAACAACCCATCAATTGCATCCCAAACTCTTCAATCACACATCATAAACCTTGAAGAATGTTGTCAAAACTGGAGGATTAAAATAAATTCCAATAAATCCCATCAAATTACCTTCACCCTTCGTCGTTAACCAATGACTTCCTGTCCTTCAGTATCCTTTAACAATACCTAGCTTATTCCTGTTGAACAAATCAGTTACCTAGGACTACACCTGGACAAATGTCTTGACAAACTTGAAATCCTCATATCAGACTGAAACGACAAGAAACCGCTTGACGTTTCCGACTACTTCAACACTTATTAGACAAACGCTCTAACCTTCCAATTAATTACAAAAGACTCATATACATGACTATAATAGGCCTATTTGGACTCATGGAATTGAGCTATGGGGCTCCACAAAACCTTCAAATTTCTTGTGTCCAATCCAAAATCCTTCGTAAAATCCTCAATGCCCCTTACTTTGTTACAAATAAAATCATCCACAAATGACCTAAATATTCCTTATGTTTCAGATTTGGCTCAATCCAGATATCTATCCTTCCATAATATACTTCATATCCATCCCAACCCTCTTGTTTCTAACCTTGCTTTCTATTCAATTCCTGATAACACTCCGAGGCATCTGAAAAGAAGATGGCCCCGTGATCTCCTAATGTAGACATATTATTAGAGTGCTCCCAGTGGGTAGTTTCTCAACATGTGTTTTATGTCATTATATCAAAGTAAGAATTTACTAGATGTATTTTTTTTATAGAGTTGTAAATATCATAATAAATTATAATAAAAAAAATAAAATTTTATTATTAAAATTAGCATCTTAATTTTTATTCATTGTTTTTGTTGCGAAGATTCTGGACTCGAAGGCTTTGATTTTATATGTTAGACCTATGCTAAATTGTTCTCCTTTATACTTTTCTTGGAAATTTTTTCCAATTCTTTTTACTTATCTGTTTTATTTTCTCAGCCTATGTTTGAACTAGTGATAGCCATTAATAGTCGATAACATCAAAATATCAATATTTTTCTTTTGATATTTTACCATCGATGGCATCTACTTTGATATTATCGATTATCGATTTTACAAAATAAACTATTAAAAAAGGGTTTACAGGGCTTAGAAACTAATATGGAATTATTGAAATTAGTATTATTTGAGATGAATTTGTTCTTTAAATTATTGACATAATATATAATTTGTGCCATTTAAAAATTTAAATTTTTCTTATTTTATTTTTTTTTGGGGGGGGAACCCTAAAAAGATTTTTTTTATAAGTAGTATAGAAGATCTTTGATACAATATATTTTTGTTAGTTACCGTCTCACATGTGAACGCTTGGGGATCCCGAAGATGTATCTTATAAAACAATTCATGAGTCTCTTCAGTCTTCTAGCCTGCCAGATAGCTCTCCATACACCAAACAGCTGTAGTTGAAGTGGGGGAATATAAGGGAGGTTACAAGGAGCTGTCTGGTTTTTAGAGGAATGCAATCACGAAATCTTTGGAGTTGTTTAAGGGCAGTTATGGATTTTCGGGTAATCTGGGAGATATGGTTATTCCAGGAGAGGTTCTGGTCAAGGGTTGTTCATAGGTTTTTGACTGTAGGGAAAAAAGGGATGGGACGATTATTGAGGTTAAGTAGAGGAATGTAAGGAAGAGATCTAATGAGATGTCTGTACCCGATGAGAATAGCCTTAGTTATCTGCAGAATATAGTTATCTTAGTTATCTGCATTCAGCTTTAAATCATTTATTTCTGCCCATCTGCTGATGCAGTCGATATCCCCATGTAGCTTTCGGGCAGCCTCAGGCATCTCAGAAAGTTGGAATGATTGTTATATTTGGAAATCGTTGGCATATAGGTGGTAATAGGCAGGAGTGTTGAATGGCGTCAGGAAGATCACTAATATAAATAGAGAAAGGGGTCAGGGAGAGTGAGGAACACCTCATGTTAATTGAAGGGGTGATGATGGAGGTTTGTTCGGAATTGCAACTGTCTGAGATCGATTCTATAAAAAGGAGAGGAACCATTTTAGGACGCTTTTTGATATGGGCAGGCTTTGGAATTTGGAAAGAAGGATCTAATGATTGACGGAATCAAACACTTTAGAAAAGTCAAAAGGAATTAGGATGGAGATTTTCTGTTTATCTATGGTGGATTGGAGGTCTTGGGTAATCCTTATCAAGGCAGACTGGATGGAATACTGGGAACGGAAACCAGATTGTAAAGGATTGAGGAGATGGTTTTATTCGAGAAAGCTGTTGTGAACTAATCTTTCTAGAGGCTTGGATAGATAGGATAAAACGGAGATGGGTCTGAAGTCGGATGCTGTTGAAGGAGTAGGAACTTTGTTTGGTCGTCGGACTATGGATGGAAAAATATGTTCTATTTTATAGAAAAACAAAATAAAATAATAACTAATTAATAATTAAAATAAAATAACTAATCCTGTTACTTTATTTATTTAATTTTTGTTCTAATAATCTATTTTTTAATTGTAATTATTTATTAATTTTATTTGATATTCCAACATTTTAGAGAGCAGCTTATTTCTGTTCATCGGAGGATACTCACCACTATGCACTTAATATGAACCTATACACACATTTCACTTCACCCATCAGGAGGTATGCAGATGTTATAGTCCACAGGATATTGACAGCCTGTTTGGAATTATCACCAATGCCACCTTGGGATACTGAAAAAATCAATAAGTATGTTTTTATTTTTATTTAATTCTTACCGATAATTCAGCTCTCGATTTTATTTAGTGAAGATTAGGTTAAAAATCTGGTATGCCCTCTTGCACGACTTTCTTACTGAATTTAGGAAAATTCTAAGCTAAAACTGCTCCGATATTTTAGTTCATTATTTTCAAAAATCAATCTTTGTAATTGACCAAGAAAAAAAAAAGGTAACCTCCTATCAAAATATGAGTTTTTACGTTTTAAGATACTTAGAATCTGAAAATCGGATAAAAAAAAGTCCGTCCTTCCGCCGTCCTACTTCTGCGGCTTTTCTCAAAGACTACTGGACCAATTGTTTTGAGATTTGGTATCAATATCAAAGAGGATGATTTTCGGAATGCGGTATTACCTATTCTTTCAAGATGACGGCAGAAAAACTGTTTGTCATCTTTGTCTTATGTTGCTGTAATTATTATAGTTATAAACTTCTCCATTGGACATTTAGAATCTCTAGAGTTTCCTTTTTCTATTTAACGCTTTAAAATTTTTAAAAAAATCATTTATTCAGATATAATCTCCATTTTAAAAAAAACCACCTTTTTACACTAGTGATGGACATCCCAAAATACAGTTGTTCTAGTAATGGACAGCAGATCGGTACTAGTGGTAGACATACCTGAGAAAAATTCTAAGATCTATATTTGACTGAAAACATAAGATAACATAAATGTTCTGGATGAAACACACTTATCTCCAGAGCACTTTAGAAACAACCATGATAAGCATTTTAGAAATTTTCTTTTGGGATCTTTGTTCATGTAGTTACCAATAGAGGGTATTGTTTTCCAACCTAGAAAAACTGGAACCTTTAAATCAACAATTGAGCTCATTCGTTTACATTTAAAGTCTAATCTGTCCATTATTGGACCCCCTGACCATAACTCGTGCGTTCATCCTAGTTCTTAGTACCTTAAATCCATTAAACAAATAAATCAAGAATTGAATGTTTAAGAAATCCTAATTAATTCATTATTGGTCAGTATTATGATGCATTAGTTTTGGCATTATGGGGTACTATTTTAAAAGTTTACTTCACTTATTGAAGTGTGGTTATTGATTTTGAGCCATTGAGCCATCATATCATTTTTCAATAACCCTGTATTTTATTTTGACCCATCCTCATGAAATAGTCCCTAAGTGCCTCTGGGCTTTAACAGCACTAGGGAGCTCACTCCTATTTCTCATATTTTTCATTGGATTATATAACTACTTTATTTATTAATAAAGCCTTTCAAATTAATATTTAAATTTTATTTTCCATTCTGAATGTAATTAACTTGGACTAACTAATTTTAAATTATTTTGTTGTACAGGTTTGCTACAGTGTGTAATAGGAAGAAATTTTCTGCGAAAAAAGCAAATGAACTGAGCTGTGACTTTCATCGGGTTCTGTACTTCAAGAAGTTTGGGCCATTATCTTTCGAAGCCATCGTTTTATCAGTGACACCTTGCAGTCTTTTTGTCATAGTACCTTGCCTCGACTTCGTCACAAGGATACAATTAAATGTAAGGATAATGTTATTATTTTAATAGTAGTTTCTGTACTACTTTTAGCATGTCTAGGAACAAATAGCACTTTTTGGAAGAAGGCATATATTTACCTGGTGTGTAAATATGAAACTGGAATCGTTCCTAGATTGCTCTAGTTTAAGGTGACCAGACATCCCACTTTTGGTGAGACAGTCCCAATTTTTAAAAATTTGTCGTCCCGCTGTGCTTTAAATAATTCCTGATTTTTAGAAAGAATGCACGACAAGCTAGGGAACGGCAAGAGAATAAAAAGAGAATATACGATTTTTGTTCGCATTGTTTATGAGTTGTTAGAATTTGACAACCATTGTTTAGACTAATTACAATTCGAAAATTATCTTTTTAATGAGGTATCATTATTTAAAAAATATTGTCATGTTATCGTTCCCTTCAAAATTAAACAAACAGTTTTTTATTCAAATAACATTTATTTCTCACACAATAATTAATTCCCATGTTAGGTTTAGACAACTAACATACATCCTTATTTATACAATATAAAAGCATACATAATTTTATTACACTTATTAATAAATTTCCATTCTATTTGTCGGGGTCTAATCTTGGCGCGCTTTCGATCTGTCCATTTATATATTCTTCACTCACCCTGCGATGCAGCTACTTCTCTTCTGTACTGGTGCATTCAACTTCCACAACCTTTTACTGTTGACACTCACTACTTGTTCTTACCTTTTCTTCTCACGATGCTCCATCCTAGCCGACTGGCTACCTTCTGCCTAACATATGGGGCTTGCTGCCCCCACCATCTGTCATTTCTGTCAGTTCCTGACGTCACTACCTTCGTGCTGATATTCAAAAACACTATATAATATTGACAATACAATATATATATACAATATATATGATTTTTTTTATTGTTCTGTCTTTTTTTATATTTATTTAGATATATTTCATTTTTCATATATTTTTTCATTTATTACTCTATATATTAATGATTATTAATTCTGCTCTAAAGAGTTTACAAATATAACCAACTCACAGGCACTGATGACCCTAGGGTTTTACGCCTTAACGCCTAAATAAACAAACAAACAATATATTCATAAGGGAAAGGATAAATCCTAGGCATTAGCAAGTTAACTTCATTTGCTGTTTCGATTACTTTAATTAACTGCTTCGATTATATTTTGTCACCTTCAGTAAACTCTATAGCACGTAAAAAAAGATCTGGTTGTTCGTGGACAAACTGCTGGCACATCCAAGTTTTAAACAACCCAAGATATAGAAAAATCTGCTCCTTTAATGTTACCAGACCAGAGGACCATCTGCAGTTCAAGTTCACTTAATTTGTTCAAATTAAGAGCCGTTAGTCGTCTCAGATTAGCAAGTGAAGATTTTGTGAAGATATACTTAAAATATGTTACTTTGACTAATAAATCTAGTGAAGTATGTGGTCCATGCATCTGCGTGCAACTGACCCGGTGACTCATTTTTTGATCCAATGTATCAAATTCAAAGAACGAAGAAATAAGTACTTAAAGACATTTATTACTGAATCCAGGGAAGATACTACTGAAAATAGACACCATGAAAAAATTAAATCAACTGCATTATTTCATACAAGGCTGTTCATTGAAATGTTAAGTGAAATAGTTAATCATAGAAACATATATTAATGCATATTTATATTGTATTTGTTTTATACTTCTGGAATATTTTATTATTGAAAAAAAAAAATTGTTTTACTAATTATACACTGACAGGTAAAAAATTCCACCCACTTGTAAAAAAAGTTGTATTTGTATATAATTCATGGTATTTGTAGATAATACTTAGTATTTATGGAATTTTATAATCTTTTTTATCTTTAATAATCAAAATGTGATTGGGTAAGAAAGATTAGAGAAAAAAAAATTGAAAACAAACCATTATTATTCTAAAAGAAATTAATTACATCATCGTTTAGTAGCACGTGTTTCCTCCTCTTGCCTTCACTACTTCTTGAAGACGCCTCAGCATACTTTCCACGAGTCGGGAAATGTCCCTTTGCTGGAGGATAGCCCACTCCTACCGAAGAGCCCTTTCAAGGTCCTGCAGTGTATCAGGAAGCTTCCAAGGTTATCCCATAAATGCTCAATGGGGTTAAAATCTGGAGAACGTGCTGGCCAGGCTAAAACCTCAATATTGTTGAAGGAACGTCTGCACTATGCGGGCGACATGTGGGTGTGCATTATCATGCATTAGAATAGAACGATCGCCGATTTCGTTGAGGATAGGCAACACATGAGGTTCCAAAATCTCATCTACATAGTGAATAGCCGTCAAAGACCCTCTACGAACAACAACCAAATGTGTGTGGCGCTCCATTGAAATCCCAGCCCACACCACTAAGGAACCACGTTGGAAAGGTTGGCTCTGAGAAAAATTACAGACTGCTTATCTTTCGTTTCTTCTTCTCCACACCCTTTCACTCCCGTCTGGAGATCGAAGAGCGAATCTTGACTCATCTGTAAAAGTACAGCACTCCATTCGTCCATAGTCCAATGGCTGTGTTCTCGAGCAAAAGCCAGCTGTGTTACTCTGTGAGTTCTGGTGAACTCTGGTCCTCTTAAGGTACTATTTCACTGGTGTGGTCCACGACCGCGACTGCTCGCGGTAGACCAATGCTTTAGTGGAATAGGAAGGAACCTATTTTGCTGGCGCTGCTCGGCAGTCTAGGTATGACGTCATATCTAAGCTACTCCTACCTGACCGCTCCTGAAGCAGTGGAGCTGTTGGCGGTTCGGCGGTTGTAGGTTATGTTATCATATCAGAGCATTGTTTCGATGATAACAGTCACCTTGATACGTTTTATTTCTCATGTTTCTTTCAAGTTTGGCAAAATTATAACAAATATTGTTCAAAACTGAAACAATGCAAAAGTAAATTATTTTTTCAAGGTTGAAGTAACAAGATTATTTATTTATTTATTCCATCAGCAATATTTTACAGCTAAATATAAATGTACCTAAATCCAAACGGTATTAAATAAATTAAAGAATCCAACAAATGTTATCGTCAGGTAAATACTAAAATCCACCCATTGAAAAATCAATTTGTATTTATTAATTAAAGTGGTGATTTACTGATTACTATTGATAAAACTATAAAACATCGCCTGCTGGGATTTAATTACAAATATATGATATTTATTATTAATCAATTATGTATTAATTACTATTACTTTTCAAACTAATAATATCTAATATCAGAGGGACTATTGTTGTTAGTACGGCGTTTCCTGCCTTTTTGTTCTTTTTTGGTTGTTCATGTAGACAATAGCTAACAACATCCAAGAAGGTATTTGATGATGAGCATCTCATCGAAATACTGATATTCCTTCTCTTTATGAACATTTTCTCTTCTTTTTCCTCCTCAAATAAAAAAGCGGTAGTGAGAGATGTTCATTAGTATAGGATTATGGAATGTCCATCTTTTTATCTTTGAAGATACAGCGAAATGCTCGAAGGTTATAGGCAGGTTATTACAACCCCAGTGAGCGGTTTCAGCGAAATAGCTACGTCAACAGCGGTTGGCAGCGAGGAATAGCGGTCGCTGTCGTGGACCGTGCCAGCGAAATAGTACCTTTACTGGACAAAAAGCTATTTATCCATACTCATTTAATCTTCTCCGAGCGGTACGCTCAGAAATTTGCACACCTCAAACTTCTTCGAGCTGATGAATCGCTTTAAAAACGGTAAGGTGCCGGTTTCGTAAAATTCTCAAAGTCAAAAACCGGTCATCCCGTGATTCTGTTACCCTAGGCCGTCCAGAACCGGGTCTTCTATGTAAGAACCAGTTTCCCAAAAACGCCTGACGGCGTATCGTAAAGTTTCATATGGAACTCCGATGGCATTAGCTGCATATCTAATGGAACGTCCATCATCAATAAGTGCCACACCACGCGCAACATCCTCAGCACTAAGAGGCGTTTTTAAACTTAATATTGAAAAAATTAAAAGCCGGAGACTAAGAAATGTGCTGCAAGAAACGGCACTTAACTATAACTAATGATACTGAATAAACATTTTGATTCCATAGAAAGTAAACATTGGAATCTAGAATCATTTCATTGAATTAAGGATTAAGGGTTATTGTCCTCTCGGTGGAACCTGTCCAATAGGGAGCGCCCCCCGGGTGGCGGATAGGGGATCCCTCTTAGGAGGGTCGGTCTGAATATACAGAATAAAGACCCGTGAACCAACAGGTACCCAGTGCTGGGGGGTATAGCCCGGCCACCCTTCCTCCTGAGGGGATATAAATATTCAGGAGGCCAGTTGTCCCGAGGATACGGGACCTCCAGCACTGGGCTAATCACCCGTCTGGAGAATCAACGATTCAAAGCAATTCAACTAGCCTCGGATGTGGACTGTCTTCAAGGAAACGACCTGGCGCACTAAGGGATATACGAATTGGAACGTGGAACATAAAAACTTTAACTGGGAAGGAGGTCGAGCTGGTGGAGGAAATGAGGACCTACAAAGTAGAAATCCTCGGCGTAAGTGAAATGAAGAAAAAGGGCAGTGGAGAAATGAAATTGGCTAATAATTACTCCCTAATTTATGCTGGAGTACCTAGAGGGGTTTTCGCCAAAGAGGGAGTGGGTCTAGTAATGTCGCCTAATATGTATGATCATTTAGAGGACTGGGAGCCGATATCTCCAAGAATGATTGTAGCAGATTTTAAGATGACCATAGGTAAGATTTCCATAATCCAGGTGTATGCACCAACGGAAGATGCTAGTGTTGCAGACAAGGAGGCATTCTACTCGGATTTGCAAAAAATAGTGGATAAAACTAAAGGAAAAGGAAGGTCAGTAATCCTGAGTGGGGACTTCAATGCCAGAACAGGAAATGATGAAAGATCTGGATATGGAGTTTTGGGGCTGCATGGAGGTGAGAATGTGAGGAATACTAATGGACAACGGCTAATAGACTTTTGCGTGCATAATGACTTCCTCATAGGAAATTCTTTCTATCCACACAAGAGAATCCACAAAATCACTTTCTCATGCATGGAACGAAATAGTATAATTGACTATTTCATATATGATAGGAACATAAGGCAGTATTTCGCTGACATAAAAATAGTAAGAGGAGCGGAGATAAGCAGCGATCACCTTTTACTCGTGGCTGATACAAAGATCATCCCGGAGTATAAAAGGAAAACAAAATTATTTGAAACCCTCAACGTAAGAGCCTTGGATGACCCAGAGAAAAGGGCCCTCTTTACAGAAAGCCTGGAAAATAAATTAAGGGAAACGTCATTCGATGGAGATGTGGAAGAGATATGGAAGGCACTGAAAATATGTATTCTGGAAACAGCAAATACAGTTTGTGGAAAGAAGAGAGTGTCTGGCAAGGGAAAGCGGACAGACTGGTGGACCAATGATCTCCAACGACTGGTTTCTCGGAAGAAGCTTGCCTGGAAAGCATACCTTATGGATAGAACTGAAGGAAAGCTACACTTATATCGAATAGCCAGGAATGAATGTAAGGTAGCCATACGCCAGGCGAAGAAGAAGTCGTGGGAGGAGTTTGGTAAAAGGCTGAGCGAGGATCATCGCGAATCTATAAGAACATTTTGGCGAAAAGTTAAGATGTTAAGAGGAAAACAATGCAAGCCTATTAGAAATGTAAAAGGTAGCGATGGAATCCTACTTACAGACAAGGAAAAGATCCTTGGCAGATGGAAGGAATATTTCCAGGAACAATTCTCCGAAAATCCAGAAACAGACCATTATCAAGAACAAGAGCCCAATATTCAAGAAAGCCTGGAGGTTATAGAGGAAGAAGAAATAGAAAATGCAATCCATAAGCTAAAAAGAGGTAAGGCATCAGGAAGGGATGGAATCGCACCAGAATATTTAAAATTCGGTGGTCAAGAACTTCTTAAGGCACTACAATCGCTGTTCCAAGAAGTATATGACAGAAAGAAAATTCCCATGGATTGGGAATATTGCATAATCCTCCCGATTTATAAAAAAGGATGCACGATAGATTGCAAAAATTATAGACCCATTAGTCTGCTATCAGTGGTCTATAAACTTTATACTTCTATACTAGAAAGGAGACTCCGACGGATTGTGGAAGGGCAGTTAGAAGCGGAACAGGCTGGTTTTCGTCCAGGCCGACAGACGCAGGATCACATCTTTGTTCTCAGAAATATTGCTGAAAAAGCTTGGGACAGAGATAAAAATCTGTATCTTGCGTTCCTTGATCTGAAGTCAGCGTTTGATGTGGTTCCAAGAAAAGAAATTTGGAATGCCCTAATAGCCAAGGGTGTACCTGGAGACTTGCTGGCGGCCATACAGTCAGCCTATCAAGGAGCCATGGCAGTGGTAAGGATAAACGGTATGGAATCGGAACCTTTTCCAATTGCGAGAGGAGTTAGACATGGAGATAGCTTAAGTCCCCTTCTATTTATAAATGTAATGGATGAAATCCACAAAATCTGTAAACGCCGAACTGTGTGGACAACAATTGGGAAGTGGAATTTGAGAACTGTCCTTATACAAAGCCTTCTATATGCGGATGGCATAGTCCTAATAGCCAACACGAAGACCAAACTACAACAAGCTTTGGTAGAGTGGGAAGAAGAGTTGCTCAGGAAAGGGATGCAAATTAACACCTCCAAAAGTAAAGTGTTGGTTATGGCGACGGAAGAGCGAGAGGATGTCCAGCTGATCTGCAATGGCGAGACACTTGAGGTGGTGACTGAATATACCTACCTGGGGACCGTAATTAGTAGTTATGGTAAGATAGACGCCGAAATATCAAGTAGAATATGTAAGGCGAATCAGGTATATTACCAGACTACTAATAGCATTATCGGCCATCGCGAAGTAGACAAGAAGACCAAAATGCACGTATATAAGTCTGTTTACCTACCTACACTCACCTACGGCGGAGAAAGCTGGACAATGCTAGACAGGCACTCTAGTCGCATAACGGCAGCAGAAATGAGGTTCCTTCGCAGATCTGTTGGCAGAACTAGAAGGGATCGCATTAGGAATGAAAGCATTAGAGAGCAGCTAGGAGTTGCCGAACTTAAAACTACTCTAGAAAGACGGCAACTCCAGTGGTTTGGACACGTCTGCCGCATGAATGAGAATTTGAATCCTATAAGGATATTAGAAGCTCGACCCACAGGAAGGAGACCACGCGGACGCCCCAGACTCACGTTCCAGGATTACATTCAAAGGATTGGATGTAAAAGAGGCAAAACCCTTAATGAGATGAAGCGACTAAGCACGGACCGGGAAGAGTGGTTGCACTGGTTGAGGCTCCTCGACGCTAATTAATGGCATAAGAGGAAGACAAAGAAGAAGAAGAAGGGTTATTGTCCTCTATATTTACATTCCTAATTGAAAACAAACAAAAAGATTACCTATTTATTCATTAAAAACAATAGACCAATCCAAAGCAGAAATATTTTTAGATGAAAACATGAAAAAATCAAGTGGGTGGAATATTAACCCTACAGAAGAGACGTATATTTATTTTCTTATAAAATATTTCTTATTTAACATAAATATAATACACTTTACAGGTATGAAAAACATGGAAATTAATTGTTTTAAATAATATTTCGGACTGTCTATAATTTTTATTTTTATTCCCCTTTGTCTGAAAATACTTATATCTTATCAAAAAAAGGGTGGTAAGTGAAAGTTGTGTGATGCGCACACCACACCACCAGATTTTTGTTTCTTATGCCAATTACGATTAGAATCATAATTCATCATAGTCCTCGGCTTATACCCCTACCAGTTGTGTGTGTAAGTATGAAACAAGTATTTTTAATACACATTTATTGCATTTGTATGTTAAAATATTGTTTACCGCTAGCTAAACATTTTTTCCATCTTTTGACACCTGATGAATTGAATTAATCCTGAAAAATACTTTTGCTAACTCCATCAGAAAAAGAAGTAGTTGGTTGAGGGTGCGGTCAAATTGAATACTATATTGCAACATCCCTCTTATATTTTACAAATAATAATAATATAATAACCTCAGAAGATCACTTTATACCCTTAGGATACTTCCTAAATAAATAAGAGGTTATTAAATAATAAACAAGATTATAAGAGTATTAATATATTTATTTATCTCAGGTGTGGGTTACTGACAATCAGATCAACTCAGACAAACTATTATTATTTATGAGGAGTTAGTCGGGGGTGCGGTCAGATAAATACTAAATTAAAATATAGTAATTATTTTATTTTAATTTTGCGGACGTTTCGACCTACTTTGCAGGTCGTCTTCAGGGCTACAAAAGATACAAAACATGTTGAGAATAAAAATTAAATATAAGTAGATACAAAATAAGAAGAAGTTGTCAGATACAGAAATAAAAGATGATATCAGAGATATAGTGGGTGACAATGTAGTAAAATATTAATTATTATATATGTAGAAGATACAAATAAATGGAAAATAAGTATGAATAAAAATAAAAATATAGGAGAATATAGCATGTAAGTTAAAAGTAAACAGCTTGCGATAAAAGATAAGGAATAAGTGCATAACAAACTAATAGAGATTACATTAGATAACTCTGGGTTTAACAGATAAATAAAATGAATGTTAACGAATAAATATATTGAAAATTGAATAAGTAATGTTACAGTAATGTTAAAGTTAAAGTTAACTTTACTGTAACATTACTTATTCAATTTTCAATATATTTATTCGTTAACATTCATTTTATTTATCTGTTAAACCCAGAATTATCTAATGTAATCTCTATTAGTTTGTTATGCACTTATTCCTTATCTTTTATCGCAAGCTGTTTACTTTTAACTTACATGCTATATTCTCCTATATTTTTATTTTTATTCATACTTATTTTCCATTTATTTGTATCTTCTACATATATAATAATTAATATTTTACTACATTGTCACCCACTATATCTCTGATATCATCTTTTATTTCTGTATCTGACAACTTCTTCTTATTTTGTATCTACTTATATTTAATTTTTATTCTCAACATGTTTTGTATCTTTTGTAGCCCTGAAGACTAAAATAAAATAATTACTATATTTTAATTTAGTATTTATCTGACCGCACCCCCGACTAACTCCTTCTCATATTATATCAACGGTCAACCATCTCTACATCATTATCATTATTTATGATTTTAAAATAAAGTCAAGTATGAATTGGCAAGCTAACTTTTTTTCTATAGATACTATTTCTTCCTTTGTTTGCCCTAAATTCATTTGCCTTCAAGTGCTTTCCAATGTTCTGCCAAACACAACTTCCAAATTGGTAGCACTATCTTCTACTCAACTCAAGATCTCTGGGAGATCCTCTCTCTTGTAATTCTAAACCATTAGTCTCTCCGCCAAACAACTTCCAAGATGGTAATACTATTACTGGGTTTTACCCCAGGATATCATCTCTTCACTGCAGCCACAAGTTATTAAATTAAAATTGCTGGAAGCAGTTGGGAGAATTTTCTTTTATTTTATATATCCTTCTGTTTTGTTTCAGAAAATGAAAGCCGTAAAGTTCAAGGTCGGTGATAACAAACTAGATTCAAGAGTTGAAATTAAGTGGCCTAAGATAGAAGAAGCGCAGGAGTTGAAAATCTTCTCCCCTGTCAAAGTCAGCTTGGATCACAAGATGGTCAACATCACTCCTCAAGTAATAGCCACTCTCCTTCCACCATCAGACAGCCCGAGTTAGTGTATATAAGAATCCCTACAATTGTATATACTCAGGTCAATTCTTGTATTTAATATGTAAATATTTAATTAAGGTTAGTTTTATTGAATATTATTTTACAGCATCACTGTATTATTTGTGATTACGTATTTATATCTTGAATAATGGAATAATTTATATTTCAGCGAGTATTTGCTAAAGATCTCAATTTTGTGACTTGTGTTTTATCTGATGTTGGTTGTCCTATGATTCGAACAATTTAAATTTTTTTTTTATATTTAGCTTTTAAGTCCTGTCCTACTAACTAATTTTATTTATACTACTGTTGTTTTTATAACTTAGATTTGTTGTATTTATGTGTTTTATCTTGTTTCTCCTATTTATAGTTGTAATTGTAATAATTGAATTATTTTATATATTTATATATATATTTTTATATTTCTTTAAAATCTATATGGTAGATATACATAATATCTATGTACGAATAACTGTTTTTTTCATTGTTTTTTTTTTAAATTAGATTATGGTAAAGTTAAGTATGCACAACTGACATGAAATAAAAATGTTATTTATTTGGAAATGGTTGTCAGTCGTTAATAAGTAATAATGTTATTGCTCCTAAAAACCCTTGTTCATTTCAGATTTATTATTTGTTATAATTTTATATTATTAGCAATATTTTTATGTATTTATTCATTGACTGATTAGATTTTTTATTTAATGACTATATTTGTCTTGATAACTTTATAATAAACGAAATGTATGATAGACTGATAAAGAAATGTATCTTGATTTAAGGGTTAATATATCTTTATGATTTAATTTTTAAGGTGCTTATATTATTTTCACCAAATATTTTGAAATCATCGAACATTCAGATTCACAATCGTATAATAGTTATTATTTATTATATTATCGTATTTTAGTTAAACGTATGTTAGTTATTATTTACATCAGTTTTCATGTCAAAATACTCAAGTTTAGTTACCATTTCAAACAACTTCAACACAAAAAATTTGCTACGGTATATTGTTAAAAAAGTGTTAAGCTAATCATTTCTAAATTTCTGCATTCCTTATATAGCATTTCCAAGTCTAATTTAGAATTTTCCAAAACAAATTGGGATTGTTCCAAATCAAATTTAGAGCTTTTCAAACCAAATTTGGATTTTGGCAAATCGAATGCAGAACTTGCAAACCAAATTTATAATTTTCCATTTCAAATTAAAAAAATTTACAAACCAATTTAAGAATTTTTATAGTTCCAAACAAACAGAGTATTTTAGTTTTATTATTAATTTCCGTAGACGTAGTACCTATTATGAACAATAAGGTTGGGCATTTGGCTCCAACTGAGCAATATTTAGGTAGGTGACTTGCGAAGGGGCTAGAAAGATATTGATGAACAGGGCCTCAGAGGTAGAAAGGTCATATAGATTTTAAATTCTGTTGAAAGCACTGTATTATATATTGTTAGGTTACGTTTCCTTTGAAAAGTAAAAAAACAGTCTCTGAACCAAATTATATTTATTTTACACAATTATTTTAAATTATTTCTCAGGTTGTGTTGAGACAATAAACACAGATTCCTCAATTATATAATCTAAAAGCATACATTAATTTTCTATGAAATATTTATGACTTTCCATTCAGTTTTGTCGGGGTCTACGTTAGAGAAGTTAGGGAATTTTGTTAGTACGTAAATACTTTTTTCAAATTGGAAATAAATGTGCAGTGAATATTGTTTACAATGCTATTGAAGGGAAATACATTGTTGTTAGAAATGACCATGGTCGCTATATTCATCCACCTTTGACTGTCAATAACGGCAATGGTCGTTAAATTGAAATCATACAAGAGTAATGAATAAAACTTAAGCAAAATGGACTTAAACAGTGCTTTTTACAAAAGAAAAACATACCATTATTATTTACTATTTATAATATATACATCTGGGTTAAGATCTGGCTGGCAAGTAGTCATTTGTTCAACCCGTGGTTCTCCTTAAAAGAGCATTTGTTAAACAGAAATTGCACAATTGGTGTCGGATAACTATTATGCTGTTTATAGTAATTAAAAAAATAAATTACTAAAGAGAAACTACATTAATATTGGAATCCCACGTAGCTCACTTTATTTTATAATAGAGAAAATCAGTGCTTTATATGTCAAGAATCAAACTCAGTTTATGAAAATAAAATAAATTAATAAAATAATTGGTAAATGGTTGACTGTCGTGGATAATGAAGAGAAGGATAGTTAGGGTGGTCAGTCAAAAAAGAAGGCAAAAATAAATGATAATATTTATTTTTACATTTGCCGACGTTTCGACCTGAAGTTCAGGCCTTCATTATGAAGCGTAGAGATAATATGGCATCTGATAATATAACATAACATCTGATCTGTTTGATTCTTGTTCTGTTGGAATTTATGTTGATCATACTTAGTAATGTTGAATTCGACAAATGATTTGATTGAAGTTTTTGTAATAAGAATACAATTTAACAGTAAATTTTAAGCGTGAAGAGGCTTGAGTTGTAACGAGTCTGTAATAAAATTAAAAACATTTGAGCACAATATGTTTGGTGATTAATAAAATTATACATTCTAATTAATCATTATGAAATTATTCACTTTTATCTATTTTAGTTAATATCTGTTTAAATTTTTTTTCCTTGAATGTATTGTATGGTATGTCAATTATATATTTAACTTATTTTATAAGGTGTAATAACTAATATAATACAATATTTAAATTGCAATTATTAATTTTATATTTTTATAAAACATCATCGGGTATAATTGTTCAAATCAAATGAATATCTGTGATATGATTGTAATATTTTTTGCTTTGTTTATTTATTTTGAGAATGGACATATTGACATTTCTGTACATTTACTCTTAAAACTCAGGTATGCTAGTTTGAAATGAATGTATTTATAAATATTACTAATTAATATAGTAATATTAGAGATATTACTAGAAAGAAACTATCATTTTTTTTTTTTTTCAGTTACAAAAATATCTATTAACATAAAATTTGAAGTATTGTAAAATTTAAATTTGAATTGGTATATCGATTGAAATATTCTTAATTAAGAAATAAGTATATATAACTATCGTGGTTTTTGATAAATTTAGTTGTGTGTTTTAGATTTTTATAAAATATATTGCTAATTAACATTTTGTCAGAAAAATGAGTAAAGTAGGGGTTAATAAATATTTTATTGATTTCCTTGACAAGTTTACCAGACCTCTTAAAATTGTTGTTTATTTATAAATTTGTATACACCCACATACATATGCATATAAATTATTTGTTTCAAAGCTTTAGTTTCAACTGTTGCAGTAAAAAACTTACTAAGTCCATTTTTTCTATCTAATTTTTAAAATAGAGTGTCAATTTTATTAAAATTACTCTATTTTTGTGTGTTCTCCTTTTAATATTTCTGATTAAGTTTTTATCTTTAATTAATATGTTATTCCTTGATTTTGTATGTAGCGTGCATTTATTAATATGTGCAATTGTTTTAGCAATGTTTCTGATCAACGATTGCGCATTGTGTTAGGAATTTTGAAGGTGCATAACTAGCATGAAATTTTCATTATGAATTATATCATCATTAAAACCTATATTAAAGGATAAGACATTCAGAACCTATTATTATTATTAATTATATGATTAATTAATCTGTAAACATTTTAATTTATTTATTTCAACTTAATTGTGGGTTGATGGTTGACTGTAGTGAATAATTAAAGAGAAGGATGGTTGTGATGATCAGTCAAAATAAAAAACAGTAAAAATAAATAATTATATTTGCAGACGAAAGACCTAAGTCTTTCCATATTTCTTGGATTAAACAGCCCTGATGAAGACCTGAACTTCGGGCCGAAACGTCGACAAATATAAAAATAAATATAATTATTTATTTTTACTATTTTTATTTTGACTGATCACCCCAAACATCCTTCTCTTCAATTTTTTCAAGTTAAGTTTCGGGGCTCATGTTCACGCTATCCATTTGAAGCAATTATTTGTTTTTGTTTTAATAGTTACATACTTTCAGTAGCTTTCTATGTTTTATCATATGTAAATCATCTTATGAAAAAAAATTGAAGAGAGAAAATATATTTATATGGAAAATATATATATATCCCACTACTTTTATCTCAGTCCCCCCTCCACTTCTCGTGAATGAACCTTCGATTTCCGGATGTTCGGAAATCCGCAGCGCACCACCATCAGTACTTCATTCACTACCTTACACGACAATTCGGAACGTCATTAGTGCAATTCCGAATGACCGTGTAGGGTCCCCTTTTAAGGTATAAAAATCTTATTATTCGTTAACAAGTTGAAACAGTCTTACTGGTACACTAACCTTACTTTTTTTTTAACTTTCACTCAGGCAAATTTCTGTGCGATTAAATATTGAATTTTTGCATGGAATGTGTAAGTAAGAATCTACAAAGAGAATTTTTTAACGACTTAGGAAATTAAATTAGGTAGCTACTGTAGACCCAACCTATTTTTGGCAAATCTTAACTACAGACACACAGAATCTTCTTAAAAATTAAGTCTGCTCGACTGAATTGATATTAGTATCCAAATTTTTATTTATTCTATTTATGGAATTCACATTTAATTTTTTCTCTTATTTAAATATCTTGAAATTGATAAAACCAACTGTTTTAAGTCAATGGCCTCAAATGATAAGCTGGTATCTAACTTTTATGCTGTAATTAATTTTTTTTTCCTCTTAGAATTGGTAGAAACCCTCTAAAAAAGTTTCAAATCGGTTTACAAATATTTTGAGCCACGAAGCATATAAAAATTGAGAAAAAAAACAGCAAAAGATTCAGTTGTGAAGTTATCATGTACTACAATGTTTGAAAATATTTTTAAGAATTATATTAGTAATTTATTTATCTATGTGTGTATATTTTTTTTCATTTAACATGTGTGTTTATTAATATTTATTTGAATAGAAATTTTGTTGACAGATAAAGTATTTTAACTATAATTAAAATAAAAATAAAATCATGGTGTATACTTTCCTTTTGGAAGTGGTGTTTTACTATTAAAACTACTATAGCGTAATACTGTAAAAGGTTGTTCTTAAAATTAGATTTGTTATTTTTGTATGCCAATTATAATTTATATTTTTTGTATTGTTTTATATTAGTGTTGATTTAATAAAAAAAAATATTTATTTCAGAATTTTAATTTTTTGAGAATGATCTGTGATGTGATAATTCAATATTTTGTGTTTATCAGTTATATTAAAATTCAGGTGATGTAATAATTTCTTTGTTTCGATTTTAATTTTTTGTAGATGAAAAAATGGCTCATTCATCCATGAAGATTAGGTTTTAAAAGAACAAACAAAAAACATATTTTTCAGTTCCATTTTTGCAGAGATAAGTTGCATTAAAATATCCCCACATATATTAATACACTAAGGCTTGAAAATCGGTTTTGTAACAAATATAAGCTACTATCATGCTTGAATAAATGGGGGTACTGTTGGATTCAGAATTTCACAAGGGGTTAGCTAATCATATTCTCGACGTTTGTTTTTTTTTATAAAATAAATAAAGTCGATAAAAACATTTCACTTCTTCAATACTGGGACGGTGAATCGAGACAATACAATTATGATTTGAAGATTTTCGAGATAATACAAGGCAAACGGACTGCAGCCATACAACCTAACGTAAATTATAATGCTAACATGAAATACATATCTCATGTCATCGACTTGAGATCCCTATCATCAAGAGAGGAGTTTATATTATTTATCAAAAGTGTTTCTTTTACCACTACACTATATCTTCATTAATTTTTCATCAAATCCAGGAATCGAGTCATAATTAATAAGATTTACATCCCCTTCAGGTAGTAAAAAATAGTCACACCACCCCAAAATGTTATGAAGGAAAAGAAGCTTTATTTGCAAATATGTAAAAAGATATATACTTTTTTACTATCACTTACCTATATATGAAATAATGTATAGTAAGGGAAAGTATTGCAGTCGTGAAAATTTTCGAATCTCGGTTTTCAACAAAAATACACGTTTTGAGGTCCCTTGAGTCCAAATAATCAAGTCCTGCAATATGGTCTGTGTGTGTGTGAACAGTCTAGCTCAAAAACGAAAAGTCGTAAGGAAGTGAAATTGTGTATTTAAGGTTTTATATGCTTGGAATATTACAGCAAATTTTTTACGATTATCTCAAAAATGGCTCTAACAATTTTGATTAAATTCATTATGTCAGTGTAAAATTAAGCAGTTTTAAATAAAATATAGTTTTTATTCTGATCGATGTTCTGCATGAAGTGTCAGAAAACAGAATATAAACGTATACCATTTAACTTTGCCACAAGTGAAGAGGATAGATAAAGTAAAACAATTTTAAAAACATAAAATTTACACTTTATTTACAAATATAGTTATAAAATAATTTTTTATACGATAATACCAAAACATAGTAAATAAGTAAATTACGAATGCTCACAGTGAAATAAATAAAATAATTTCATTTCTTTACAATAAATCAAGAAATATATTTTTGAAAAAATAAGATCATTTCATCTCTTAAAAGCATTGAGCAAAACGGAACTTTATTTTAGAAAATGAACGTATAAATCCAGGAGGTGCTTTACTAAAATGTTAAAAAATGGCAGCTAACATAGTCCAGCTGATTAAATCTTCAAGATTAAATACTACTTACCTTTTGTTCTGTAATTCTTTTATTTAATCATGCAAAATCAGAAAAAATAAATCTTAATACAAAAAAAAAAGGATGAGGGAATAAAATAAAATATTGTTCCCTAATTCAATGGACATGGCTCTAAAATAACTGGTACTATTATATCCTTCCAATTAATCAATTAAACTTCTAATGTTAACTTCACTCGTTCTAAGTTCATTAACTCCATTTATTATTGAAAAAAGAACGGTTCAGGTAAAATATAGTAAATTTTCCTAAGCAACAAAATCTAGTGGTCTGTTGAAACCACCCTTTCTGTTCATGTACTGTCGATACTTTCTCTTAAGGATAACATGAACGGCACCTGAATCGTTTCCATCAACTTTCTGTCCTTTGGTCGTTTCAAAACCGCAAAAGCCCATTAAGCGCATCATTTCTTGCTCAGCTTCAGTCTTTCCCTCTAAATCGGCCTCTAAACAAAACAACATAAAACCATAAAAATATTGGTAAAAGTGCAACAAAAATTATCAAATCTACATTATAAAAAAAATATACAATAATCCCATGTTATCAAGAACTTGGTCAACTTAGCGAATCTTCAAGTACACACTGAATCTAGGTAATATCAGATAGAATTCCCGAGATATCATTGGATTTAGTAAACTACAAGCTTAGTTCTTATCACTGACTCCTTCTTCTTCCTTTAAATCCAGTTTCAACAGCTGTTGTTTATATGAAACATACCTTTTCATAAAAAACCTACTTTTTTTTTTTTAAATTTGGGATAATTAAAAATATTAAGAGTTTCATGTTCGAGTGACAATAGTTCAAAAAAATAAAATATTACCCAGAGATTTGTTGAATTTATCTGAAGACCAAATTAAAAACTTTAAAAGAAGTGATTAGTGGTGGCTTGGTACCATAAACAAGAAACTACTGTTTGTCATTAAAATTAATTTCTTTCAAATTAAAAGATTTACAATTATCAATGGTTAACCATTTATAACAAGAAATACAAAGAAGGATCACGGCTGCCAATAGATGTGTCTTTGGACTTGGCCGACACTTAAGAAGTAGGTACCTCTCAAAGAAGACCAACCTGATCATATACAAGACCCTTGTTCGGCCTGTTTTGACATATGGCTCAGAGGCTTGGACGATGACTAAAAAGGATGAGATGATGCTGAGTGTCTTTGAGCGAGGAGACCTCAGAAGGATTTATGGTCTAGTAAAGGAGGGTGATGTCTGGAGGAAAAGAAAAAATAGGGAGCTCAGTTCTCTCTATGCAGACATCGACGTAGTCACGTATATTAAACTGGCCAGACTAAGGTGGGCAGGGCATGTGGCCAGAATGAGCACCGTTGAAATACCAAAAAAAATAATGATGGAGGAGCTGCACCTCGTAAGACTGGTAGGAAGGCCGAGGACGAGATGGTTGGACAACGTGGCCTATGATGCGAGAACCCTGCTTGGTGTACGGAACTGGAGAGCTGCAGCAGAAGACAGAGCCAACTGGCGGAGGCTCTTGGAGGAGGCCCAGTCTCGGTAACGGGATGTTGTGCCACAAAAAAAAAAACATTTATAACACTATCTTTTTTTCTTTTCTTTACTATCTCTAGGACAGAAATATGGCAGTTTACATTTTACTAGTTACTATTAATGTAAATATAACCGACAAAGGCTAACTTAAAATTTTAATTAAAAATTATTCACAGTATATAATTCAAGAGATATCAGAGATAAACTGACAAATGATTCATACTTCACATTAATGAATTTTGACTCAGATAAACATATATTCAAAAGGAAAATACATACCTGTGAATTGTTTTCTCTGCCCTGTATTTAGTTTTTGCTTCTTATTTCTTTGGGGAGAGCGTGACCTTGAGCGAGAATAAGATCTTCTTCTGTGACGATCCCTGAAACAAAATAATTAAAAATAAAAAATTTCGAACAAAATAATCAAATTAAATAAATGACAGTTATTGGTATTTATTAATAGAAAGGTTTGGAGATCAATCATCTCAGGGTATTTTCGGACACACTCAGCTAGTTTCTCCATTACATGTAAAGTGTAATTGATGTAATCTTGACCCACCTGTCAAAAAAATGCGGCACCAAAATAAAATATAAAACTAATTTTGCACTCATTTAGTTAAATGAAAACCACAACCACCATTCAGTAAATTATGTCTACAGATTTCCACCAAAAAAGACTATTCAATCAAACGAGAAACAACGGTGTTTTAATCTTCCAAGGGACATCCAATATTTATTTTAGACAAGAGTCAAAATAAATATGGGTGTCTTGGTGTGGTCCTAAAAAGTTATGCCAATGAAATATAGCGAGTTCGCTGAAGCCTTGATGAAACAGAACACTGACTAAAAGCCTTCATTCCGCCACAAACTAGGGTAGTTAGACAGAGTAGTTTAAAAGTTAGACAGAAGTTGAGGAAAATCAGTATGTAAATAGCTGTCAAGAGAATGAATTCTGGGATATTTCTAATGTATTCTTTCTTGATTTTATTTCCTTTGCCATTTTTCTGATTCAATGTTTCCACTAATTCCACTGACAAAGAAGAATAGCAACTTCTGATCACTTTGAGTCAAAATGGATGCATGAACTAAAACAAGATATTTGCGAGTTTCTCCGCTTATGTTGTAAGTTCATTCAAAGACCAGTTATAACATATTTTAGAATGTCTTAAGAACAATTAGATAAACTATATACTATCCTTAAAACTAAAATATCAAAACTGTATACTGACTGGAGGAACCCAGAGGAATATATAAAAGACATACTTTTTTTTTTTTGGTCCTCCCCTTCCTCGCCGTTAAGGCTATACGGGATTTTCCCGGGCCAGGGGGTGTGGGCGGTGATTTAAAAGACGCCTTGGCCCCCGGGACGCGAACTCGTGACTTTTTTTTTATTCAATATATCTTATATCAGGTTGCCGGGCAACGGTGGTGCTGTGCACAACGCATTAGCCCATTCGGGCCACCCCGTCCACCATAAAAGACATACTCTCACATACAATAATGAGACCACTAATAATGGACTAGGTAGTAAATCACAAAAAAAATCTGTCTGTCATGGAAAGTATCCCTTCTGTTTGATCAACATGTATTATTATACCAACAACATACTAAGGCTGCAGCAGAAAGGAAGGTTGGTCCATATGTGTTTGACCAAGCCTTTATAGTTTGTCTTGAAAAAAAAGAATGGCAGCTTTGATAAATCTTTATTGATGTGAAAAAGCACTCTTTAGGAAAATTTTATACAAATTTAAGACACACATTATGGCATTGTAATAGATATACCAGAAGACTTTAACTAACTAGTTACTGTAGTATATTTGGAAATAAACAGCATTACTTAACTTAGTGGAAATAAACGTAATTAGCTACTATTGGGTCAAAAAAAATGTAAACAAAACGACATAAACTAGTAACAAGACCCAAAGCTAAGAGGAGTTATTAAACTTAAAATAAACAATAACGAAAATGTTAAGTGATGATATTACTACACTTGGCTCCTGTATACTGTGTACAGGATTTATTTGTTCTTAATACGAATAAATAAAAATGTTTTTATCTAATTAGGTTACAATATATTTCATGAAATACCTTCTATCCCGTCTATCATCTCTCCTATCCCTATCTCTAGACCTGGATCTTCTTCTCCTATCCCTGTCGCGATCACGGGATTTACTCCTCCTTCGTTTAGGGGACACTTCTCGAGTCATTATTAAATAAAAGACACAACAAACAACCCACTACCAAACCTTACCAAACACTAACCCTTCCAACAACAATACCTTGATATTGTCAGTGTAGCCATTCAGATTTAATATTAATATAAAATATGAATGTTGTTGTTTTTTTCAGTTATATTATAACGACAAGCAGATAATTTACATAATTGTTTTCTTGGACAAAAACTTTTTTTCAAAATACAATAGAGTTATTCGTTATAGATTTTTTTTTTTATACATGCATGTTTGAATAAATAAATGAAAAATTAAACATTCCAACGTACTTACAACGCCTATCGTTAATTAAAAATAATAGTTTAATTAATATTGAAAGTAGGGAAATTATCTTATTTATTCAATTTATATCTGTATTGACTTTTCAAGTTTATGGAGGGGAGAGTCGTTTCTTTGAAGAGATTAGCAACCAAGTAGAACGATGGATTTGGAATGTGCTACACTATGGCTGAACATTTTTAAACCAGAATGAATTTGGCGAAAATATGTTTTAAAAATTTGTAAATGAAATAAACAATGGTGAAGAAATAGTTGACTATAGATAATATTTACTTTATTAGATAATACCAATCCCACATTCCCCCGTATATTATTACAGTAAGGCTCGAAATCGGTTTTGTACCAAATAGAAGCTCCTGTCATGCTCAAATGGGGTACCTTTGGATTCAGAATTTCACGGGGGATTAGCTAATCCTATTATCCACTTTTGTTTTTCTTTCTAAAATAAATAAAGTCGATACAAACATTTTGCTAGGCTTCAATAGTGGAACGGTGGTAGGTCTGTAGATCGATACGGGACAAATTAGATCTTGAAGATTTTGATACGTACAGCAAACCCCGGATGGTTCCCCCGGAACTAACGGACCCTGCGTTTTTAAGCCCAAAAACGTACTATTTTCGAGATAACGCAAGGTATAGGGTTCGCATCCACACAACCTTACGTTAATTGTAGTACTGTCATTGAATACATGCCTTATTTCGCCGACTTGAGGTCTCTATGGTCGAGAGAGGAGGAGTTTATATTGTTTATCGATGGTGTTTTTGTTGATCGGCAAGCCATATCATCGTTAATTTCCCATAATTACCTACAAAAGGAAAAAAAAAATCATCGAAATCGGACAATTTTTAGCAAAGATACAGCTTACTGAAATTCGTAAACATGTTCCAAACTAAAATGAAGATTTAAATTAATTTCTGTTTCCTTTGTCGATTATATTTACCGATAAAGTAACATTTGATATCTTTATCTTTTGATATATTGCATTATTTTTTTTCTTATTAATTTGGCATTTGATAATAATATGATGTGCGAATTTTTCGCACGGGACTACTAGTTTAAATTACTATCTTATTAATTTGGAATTGTACACTAGTCCTTAAATCTTGGCAGAGAATTTATTTGAATCATTGGATTTGTTATAGGTTCTTTTGAATATAAATAATAACAGAAAGGTTCGTTTTTCTAATTCATTTAATCAACAACTTATTAGAGGAACTATATAATTTATTATATTTATGCTTCAACATCAATGCGTTGTTACTCCAACCTCTGCTCCAGCCTCTGCTCCAGCTTTAGCGCCAGCTCCACCTTGAGCTGCTCCTGCAGACCCGCCCAGGCCTGCCGAAGCAGAACCTTGGCTTTGTGCTCCTCCAATAGCAGGCAAACCTGATGCTGATGAGCCACCGAATATCTGTGTTTGGGTATGACTATTTGATTGGCTTTGCTTGGATTCGGTCTTACTTAATTTAATCCCTCCCCCATTTATTTGTTGTTCGCCTCCTTCGAATCTTCCTTGGATTCCGACACTTGCATCACTCTGAGCTCCTGCTTGGGCAGCACCTCCACCTAATTCTGCTTCCGCGCCAGCTTGTCCTTTAACTTGCTGTTGACCTAATGGTGATTGTCCTCCATTGGTTTGAGCTCCAGCAGCAGCTTGAACTTGTGCTTGGGATTGACCAGAAGTACCTCCACCAACTACACCGGCCTGTGCTTGAGATTGAGCCTGTCCCTTTGTCGATCCACCGATACTTACGTCCGCACCTGAAGAGCCTAGTTGTGCGCCACCTCTGGCTTCGCTGTTGGCAGAAGCTGGGCCAGACCCTCCTACAAATGTTAAATTAAACTTGAGATAAAAATCTCGAAATTCCTGTAATTGATATTGTCAATTTAAGAAAATATTTTTATTTTTAAAAATCAGTAATATATATGAATCGGTTAAATTGAATTCATATAAGTGATATCTATTATCTTCTGAAACAAACAACAAAAACCAAATTTAAATTTGATAAATATACAATGATGTGTATGTTTTGAAATACGTTTTTTGTAGCCTGTTCTTTTATAACCTGCACTACAAATCTGTGAGGTGTCTTGGGTTAAAGCACTGTTTCGTTGTATACGATAAACTAGTTTTCTAATTCTACTTTCGCTTGTACGGCTTTTAAAAAGAGAAGAGTAATACAATTTTTTGAAAGAGGGGCATGCGCCATTAACCTTATGGACACATTTGTATCGCTCAAGAGTTCTCAAACTTGTGACCACAGTTTATTTGCACAAAACGATTAACAGTAAGTTCTCCCGTGAAATGATTAATATTTTATATTGTAAGCATAATGTCATAGTGATTACCCTACCCCTAGTAATGCAATTGGGAATAGCTATGTGATATTCCAAGATGGCAGTAGCTTCCCACAGGTTTAGTCCATGGACGGACTGTTTCAGTGAAAGAAAAATATGTTCTCCTACGACTGCTGACCTTGAGAACCCATATCCCATGGTTCTTGAACAAGAGTGAGTCAGATGGAAGGGAATTATATTGTTCTCTATAGGTATCAACTAAGGAGTTATGGTTGGCATGAACCATGGAGTTCATAGCCCTGGAGCCAGGCCCCAATCGGAACCGCGATTTAGGGGCATAATCTTCCATTATAACAATATATTTTTTAATATAGAGAACATGTTAATAAATCCGGATTGTGTAAATTATCTATATATTAATAGATATAGTGAAAAAAAAACCTGTACTACTACAACCAATGAAAGGTCTTGGGTGAACCCAAGGAACAGTAAGGAATACTAGCGGATCCAGGATTTAATTTTGGGGGGAGGGCTCCAGCCCGGAAGCTTTTTTTCCATGTATACATATTTATATAAAACGATAATTATTTGGAAAAACAGAAAGTTGATAACTACCTATATGAAATGGTGTTTAAGTGATACTTGAAGTCCTGTTAAATGTAATTAAACGAGCAATAATACTTAAAGACACAATTTTTTAATATATTTTGCCATTAAACATGATTACATTTTACCGTTTTTGGGGGGAGGGCTTCAGCCCCATAGCCCCCCTCCTCGTAGATCCGCCTGCGGTAAGGAAGTAGTGTTTCTTGGACAACGAATGAACAAGGAGGAGGATTTGACCGGAATCACGCTAAACCAACAGCTTTTTCTTCTTAATTCTTAATTATTTAATTAAGAATACCCACTTTGTAAAGGCTGGGTGTGGCCTAAGAGAGTCTCCCGACCCCAGTGTAGATCTAAGGCTGATGATACAGAATAAAAATTAACTGCTATCAGCTGGATTCGAACCTGGGCCCTTGAGCTTAAGAAGTCAGTGCCCTACCCACAGATATACCCCTTTACCTTAATTGATATAAGCATATGTTTATTTATAATTATCTAAGATATATGTAAAATTATTTTGTATAAATGAGATACCATAGGATAGGGCCAAGACTCCTTGGAAGATGGCGACCGCTAGGAAAATCAGTTGAGGCTTCATCTCGATGAACTGTCGACCTCAACCTTTGCCCCCGTCTTTTATACTTGGATATCTTTCATTTTATCATGCATAATCACGAAGTTGAAAAATATTCAATCACACGTTCTGTTATATTTCGAAAGTAAACTCAACGTGGAAAACTATTTTTACAATGAATTTTGTTTACTGTCTATAAATAAATATTAGTTACTTGTTTTTCTCATTCAGTACCTGCTTGATAATTAGGCTATGATATAATGTTTTCATAATGGGACAACCTACTTTAAAGAATTAAGGAGAGAGGAATAACAACCAATTACCAAATGTTGTAACTATTTCAATAGTTTTATCATAATTATCTGTTTATTAAAAAAAAATCTGGTGTTGTGCACGCGTCATTGAAATTCAAATATTTTCACGATCCCGATACTTTCCCTAACTAAATATTTCATACAAAGGTAAGTGAAAGCCAAAATATGGGGGGTTAACTTTATGACTTTTTAAGCCGATTACAATGATTCATTATTGAAAATAATAAACCAAAAGTGACTGTTTAATTGGTAAATAAATATTTTAATTTTCCCAATTTTTTTAAATTCGATTTTTTTACTTTACTGTACGAATGTTGACATTATCTTTCATGACAAGGTTTCGGCCTAAAATCCAGTTCTTCATCAGGTGAACAAAAAATTATTTTTCACTGTAACCAATCCCCGACTAACTTTTCAGTCAATTTTCTTTTCTATTCGAATACAAGTTTGTATTAATAATAAATTCATAATATTTAATAATCTGACTCTTTGTATTAAATAAATACATCTAGTAAATTTGAAAATATGGATATAATGACATGAAAACACTTGCTGAGTAACTACCCAATGGCAGAATCCTATTGATATGTCTACATTAGGAGATCACGGAGCCATCTTCTTTTCAGACGCCTCGGAGGGTTATCAAGAATTGAAGAGGAAGCAAGGTTAGAAATGAGAAGGTTGGGATGGTTCTGAAGTTTATTATGGAAGGATAGGTATCTGGATTGGTCCTGATCTGAAACATTAAGCTCATTATGGATGGTTTTATTTGTAACAAAGTAGGGAGTATTGAGGATTTTACGAAGTATTTTGGATGGTAAGGATTGGATAGGAGAGCAATTCGATGGTTTAGTGGACTTCCGTAGCTCACATAAAAATCTTAAATATACAATTTCACTTTCGTACGACTTTTCATTTTTGAGCTAGCCTGTTAACACCCACATAGACCATTTTGC